TTTGACTTGCATAGCTAGCAATTTTGTTCTCCTTGCAGCAAGGGTAACAATTTTGTGCCACATTCATTTTACATACGCAGTGCTTTTCAGCATTGTGCTCGCACACCTCATAAGCTGCTTAGTTAGCTACGTCAGCTGAGTACAGCACCACCTTTCTTCAGGAGCATCAACCTTTTTAACTCCGGACTCCTTTCTGCGGGTGGGTCACCAGCGCTAATTGTGTAGCAATCGTCTCCAGGTAGCACATCTGTACTGCTATTATCGGTATTGTGTATGCTTGCAGCTATACTTTGTACGTGCACTGTATATACTGAGGCAAAATGAAAGTAAGTTCACTTCTGATAATTCTGGGTAAACTTAAAAGGGTTTGATGTATTTTGCTTCAGCTAAACATATGTATAGCTTCCTCTCTGCCCACAAGTCAGTACAAATAACAGCTAGTTCTCCATATTACCTGTTTTCCTTCTTTTAAATCCACCTGTGATCTACTTATGGGCTTCCTGAAGTTCAAAGAAATCTTTGCATTGATTTCAGAACAAGTAGAGTTATATCCTTGAATATAAAGTCTTCTTGTCAGAGTGTGAATCATCTTGTGTATCTCTGAAGTTTTGTGTTTCTGTAGAAGTGATGAATCACACAGAATGCCTAATCACTGGCTTCTCTAAATTCCCTCTGGTTAGTGTGACTGATTTGTTTATGTGCTGTCTTTGCCAGACCAGTGAATTCCCCTCCACCTCACCCTGTCCCCTCAGCACAATTAGTATTGACAACTACCATCACGTTGTCTGTTTCTCTGTGTGGTGTTTAGGTGCTTTCCATCCTACAGCAGTATGGCTGGGCATGAAATAGTGATGAAATTACAACTGATACAAAAGGTGACAGCCTGTCTCCTTAGCAACCTAGGCCACTGTGTGCACATAACCAGCCCATGCCAAAGTGAAAGACTTGGTGCTTGTTCCCGTGGTGTTTACTGGCAAATCTCAAGATTAACTACATCGCTCCCTGAAGCTTTGGCATGAACATAGTGTTTGCAGCAATCTTCTTTTTTGCTTGTACAAGCAGGGGAGGATTTTGCTGGGTATAAAATAGGTACAGATGTGATGATGTCTTTGCACAAGGTAGAGAAAGGAAGTAGCATTTTCTTCAGTTTCAGATCATTTCTTCTGTGCTCTCTGTCTTCATGCCCCACTGGGCAGAGCAGGCATCAGCAGCGCTGAGAGGCACTCTCAGCTCCAGAACTCCAACCGAAAAGGACAGATGTTTCCAAAAAATAAGTATCTCTGAGTTCCTGATAGAGACAGGAACATAATAAAAGATAAGTCAATGGCATTTTTCCTTTTTGTATTTGGCCTTTAAAGATTTTTGCTCTGCAAGGAGTTGCAATAGTTTTCAAGGCAAAACAGGACTGGGGCATTCCCAAGGACTTAACTTGTAAACTATGACTGAGAGAACTCTTTCTTCTTCAGATTTCAAGGCAGAGTGCTGTCTGCTAGCCAACATATAAAGCAAAGTGCTGATGTGCACCTTTCATCAAGGAAAATGCTGTAAAATTCGATTCTTGCTTTAAAAATTAAAATTAGTGGTATTTGTGTTTCTTTAGGTGGTGCATAAGTTGGTGAGATTCTAATGATAAATCCCACAGAAACTGAAGACTTTTTTCAAACCATAGAAATCATTAAATTCATATACAAGCTGCATACTCAGTGTCAGAAGAGCAGTTCATTTTGTATGTTTTCTGTGAGGCTGATCTCACTATCATCAACTAACTTTCTAAAACATACTGGGTTGCATGGTCCACTGGCTGAATTTTTGTAAACAAAGAGAATGCATATTAAGGGGAATATTTTTCTAAAAGAATCACTGCAGGCTCTGATATTAGAGTGAAGGAGAATCTGATAGTGTTTAATTCCCCTTGGTTAGAGTGCCAGTATTTTGCCATAGTGTCATTTTACTGCCATCTACCATATTTACTGGAGGTGTAGCTGTTAGCTGTGGAGCAGAAGACATACAAAGATGCGTTACACGTTCCTTTCTCTTTGTTTGGTACGTAATACATTGTGAAGCTGAGAAAAGCTCAAAGACTTTTTTTCTTTTTTAAAACAGCAGTTGGCAGTATACTTTCTTTTCCCCATCCGTTATGAGTGCAAAACCCTCTGATGCTCGTATTATTTTAGTGTAGCTTGTTAAACTAGCTTGTTAAACTTTCTGAGACTGAGATACATAGCAAGTTTCGCCATTGGCCTCTAGTTAGAAGCAATTGTGATGTGCTCATAGAGGAAAAAGTGGTGGTGTCTTTGAATGTGGGAGACCAGCTATGTTTGTGGCACTGCTGATGAAGGCCAGTGTGACCTTGAGCAGGTCCTTCTTTTCCTTCCCTTTAAACTGAAAATATATTCCTCTGCATCATAAAGCTTAAGAACAAATAAACAAGTATTTGCAAAGGACTCAACACACTGATGAGAACCTGGCAACTTCTGAGGTAGTCACTTCAAGTCATTTCACTAACAGCTTTTTAACCAAGCAGATAAATACTTTTCATGTGTTAAAAAAGGAAGGAGAACATAGTGCATTTAATTAGTCTCATAGGGATAAGCTACTTCCAACTTCTGAATCATGGCCTTGGAAGCTGACTTGCTTTTTTTTTTTTTTTTTTTTTTGAGGAAGTATCCTTGAGTATACAGATGATTTGGGGAACTGTATAAAGAGACAAAAATAATCAAGAAATACAAGCTTCCCTTTCAGTCTCTGAGCAAAACTGCAATGAAGGAAACTCCAGCCAACACCAAGTTTGGCCTCTTTAGAATATATTATTTAAGTATCTCTGATGGATCTCCACACTGACTTTCTTACAAGCTTTTACATCAAATCTGATTTCTTTCCTTGTCTCTAAGTCATGGTATAAGGAAGTGAAATTATCATATAGACCTCTGAAATAAGGGTGGTGGTTTAAAGTGCTCTGCTTGAGTTGCGTAGAACCTATCTACTGCACAGTAAAACTCATCTTTTTCAAGAGAGAGGGATCTTTGGGATGAGATCAAGGCTATAATGCACTCTTTGAAGAACGAAGAAATATTTCAGAGCTTTCACTTAAGACATTCTGTTGAAGAAAAGGGAGATGGGAAAATGATCTTCTTGTGACAACTTTGAAAAACACCGCCTTAGCTAACAAAACTCTGCCTCTTCAAGTTGAAGAAAAAAAATCCCTGAGGGTTCACCTCATTTGCAGTGCTTACTTGCATTTTTACCCGTTCTGTTTATTTGATAGTTGATGTGTAGGGGAATGTGTATGTATGTTTTTCTCAGATGGTTTGCAGACATTTTGCTGACCACTTTATCATGCCTTACAGATCACCAGTGTTCTCTTAGACAATAGTTGAGAAACACTGGTCTAATACTCTATCAGAAGATTCTTTGACATTACAACAATAAAGGGGAAATACTACTCTTAGTAGGGTATGAAAAGAAATTTCTTTGGCATACTAGCCTGGAAAAATTGAGGAGGAAGAGAGAGGTCTCAACACTTGTCAAAAGATAGGTAGAAAATTCAGGGAAGGTCTTAATTTTTCTGGTCTGATTTGCTCCAGGAAAATAACTGAACTATTAGTATATAGCAAAGGAATTAACTAATGTCCAGCTTCACTGCCAAAAAAAAAAAAATCTTGGTATTATTTTAACTAGTATGTATGTTCAACACCCGTGATTTTTGATAAAATAAATGAGTGCTGTATGATGGGGTCATGAGTCCCAGAGTAAGAAATTGACAGGTCCTATGGGCCTGTTGGATAGAATCTCTACTAGAGGCAGGAACGCCTCTGTTAGGTGCAGCTTAAGGAGAAAGTAACCAAGAGCTTAAGCTGGAATCAGCAGCTTCTTCAGGAAAGGTTTTCTTACAGCAGGCTGTGAGCAGCTCTCTGCCAGCAGCTACCTGGGGTGCTGACTTGCCTGTTGGTATCTCTGCAAAGCATTGTCCAAAATTGAAGCCCTAACACAAGAACTCAGAAGTAATACAGAAGTAATAAAAAAAAAAAATCTCTTCTAGAGCATAGATACAGCCACCCTAAGACATGCTGTCAGAAGTTCTGTTTATCTTAAGTACAAATTAGTAACAATACTTAAAACTATAAGAAAAATCATGGAAGCCAATACTAGCAATATGCGGGGATCTGACAAATTTTCAAAGCAGTTGGTCTAATTGATGAGATTTAGGAAGGCAAACTTGAGACAGGATTCCAAATCATGATAGAATAAAAGATAGTGAAGCTGCGATTTTTGTCTCATCTCTTTGCAAAGATAAGGGCTAAATTTAAACTTCAGTTTGAATCTCCCATTTAGATGCAGAATTGTTTCCAGCTTATGTGAATGGTTAGCTTATGATTAGAATGCAAACAGTGTGTTAGCTGGAAGCGTGCATCCAGCTTGTGATGTAAAACAGTTCTGATGTCCAAGGAGAGATTCCTGTTAACTTCAGTTTTTCTTAGACAAAGTACATGGTATGTTAATTAAGATTTTTTTTAAACTACTCAAATCTAATAGAGACAAACTAACTAAAAAAGAAAAAAAAAAGGCAGAAATGACTGACGGAATATTCTTATCTAAAAAACAGCTGTGCGAATCAGTCTACCCTCATGAATAGTCATAGAAGTTAATAAGAATAACATCAATCGGTTCTCTGCTATTGTAATAGATTTCTGTAAGAAGTGCTTTCAGAAACAGAATTTAGTAGCGTGATATTCTTTGCATAGGTATTTGAAGCATCCCATGGAGCTTAATGTATTTTAAAAAAGAGGGAGATTGTTTTTAAAGAAAACAAACCTAAGAGAAGTTCTAATTTACTGTTACATTTTTGTGGGGTTTTTCCTAATTGGGATATTCAGGCAAAGATATGGATTTGAAAGCTACATAGGATTTTAGACATGACTCAAAAAAGTACCTTCATGTCACACTAGGATGGCGTGAATTGTACATTAGGTTAAAGCGTTTTCTCTGCTTTTTTCTGATAGGTCATTGCTTGTGAACAACAGTATGACTACTCATATGATGCTCGATGTGACGTATGGTCCTTGGGAATAACAGCTATTGAACTGGGGGATGGAGATCCTCCTTTATTTGACATGCATCCAGTGAAAACCCTTTTTAAAATTCCAAGGTACGGCACTAGATGGCTCTCTTCACTCACTAGTTTGTTCAAAGGCAATCTAGTCAAAGGAGAAAGAAATACTTGGTAAATGTTTGTGCTTCAAATCCTAAGAATGTCTCATAGGAAAAGACATTAAAAAGCTGTAATGTTAAAGACTTTTTTCCCAGCCTGACTTCTACAATAATTTATATTTGGAACGCCTTGAAATGATAAAGACTTACGTATTTATTTTATTCGTATCTTAGAATATAAAATCATATAATATCAAGGTACCGCCCTTCAAAAGTACTTTTCTTAGCTTCTATTGATGAAAACATTTGTTTCAAAAGAGGAAGAAGCTAACATTTGTAACTGTTGAATAACATTTTAAAATGTTATTCCCCTAGAGTCTTGGGCTTGTTTTACTGTGGAAGAAAACCACACAGTTTTGACAATGCTGTGGAGCAGTCCAGCAGTTTCAGCAAACTGTAATCATAATTTATTTTTTCATTTACCCAAGGATGTTAAAATGTGAAGATTTGGATTGTCATACATGGATATGAAAAAGTGATAGAAATTCCCTCTATATATAGTCATATAAATTAGCTGTATTATTTCATGCTGTCTATTTTTGGTTTCATTTTGTTGAGTCTTCCTGAATAAGTTAAGATGAGATTGACAGTGTAAAATAGTTTAACAACAGATCCTTTGTAATAATAGAAGAAATATAGAAAGAATTTGTCCATCATTGATTAAACTGGCATATACTTGCCTTTTCCACATTTTGCTCATAAAGAAAAACTCGCCACTGACTGATAACAGTTTAAAACCTTCAGCAATACAAACGTTTGACCTTTGTTATCTGCACAGTTATCATAGGCTTTAAAAATTTCTTCTGATTGCAATTTGCATTTCTGATTAAGTCTATTTATATGCAGATGCAGTTGTGCTGGGTTCTGCGTCATATAGTTATCTCCTTCTACCCAGCTCAGACATGAGCTGCCACCACTCTTAAATACTGAAGTAGCAGTTCATCTTGTTGCCTTAGCACAAGTGTAAAACAGGTCCTGGCCATTAAGGCAGCGAGGGAGGCTTCCTATTACTGAAGCAGTATCTATAAATTTTATCAACATTCAAAACAGCTGAAAAGGACAGAAGTCATACCAAAAGTAACAGCAAGCAATAGGAAGATACATAGAATAGGGCATGTAGAGGCTTTGATTTCTATCTATAGTTTACCTCTTTCATTGCTGTTGCATCTCTGTATGACTTAGATACTTCACCTTTGTTTTGCTATCTGATGAATTAAATAATGGGTACATTTACGGAATAGAATGGTAGCAATTTTTAAGTCAAGAGATTTCTCTCTGCTTTGCATTTTATGCATAGCATAAAATAACCCTGCTGCTGGTAACTGTGCATTCATATTAGGTAAAGTGGACTATGATGAGTGCTGGATGGTGTACGGGCCTGGGGTATAGGAGATAAAGCTTCTCTCCTAGTACTTGTTTGAAGTCAATTCAGAGGTATAGTAAATATGACCAGAAGGTACATTCCCCTCTTATAGTAGTTTGACAGTTTAGAAGTAATCTTAGTGCAGTTCCTGATATCTGTGCTGCAATTCACACATTTCTAACAGCATTTTCAACATGAGCATTGAGGCTCTTCTCAGGCTGAAAGTGGTTCTTCCAAGCACTGGCTGTTGAGCGACGTATAGAAGCATTGCAGCTCACCACCTGAGACTCTTCAATCCAAAATCCTCTGAGCTCAGGGATCTGGTATCTTTACGCTTTCTGCTTTCATGATAATATCTGCGTCTGAAGTTAAAAATGCAAATGTTAAGCCATTTGGTCATTTTTAGGTAATTAGTTAGTATCCTTGAGTATCATCTCTGAATTTATCCAATACAAATTCTCACCTACTGTAACACCTAGTAGCAAAGAAGCCTACAGGGTAGCTATATTTTATTGGAAGAACTCTCTCCTTTTGTGTGCCACTTGCTAGCTTTATTTGGTAATCCTTAGCTACCTTTTGAGAAGAGGAAGGGTACACTCAATCCCTATTTCCCCTCTCCACATGACTTAATGTCATTGTAAGATCCAATCAAAAGAAAAGGAACCCTGCTGTTTTTTTTTTTCTTTTCTTTTTTGTGATTGCTTCCCACTTTCTTGCCCAAGACTTTCCCTGCATCCATCATGCATTTGAGCCAAAGCTCTCAGCCCTAGTTTTTGGCTCAGTGAGAATACAGTTAGACTCTGGACTCAACAAGTTTCTTAACTGAGACTAGCACTTGTCACATCTCCAGATGCATTTGTGCTGTGCTCAGGGATCTTCACGTCTTAAAATTGTTCTGCTGATACTGGCAATCAAACAGCTTAGGTTAGGGTGGGGTGAATGAGAGGCAGTGTATTCATGCAGCTCGAATTCTTGTCTCAGCTGAGGGGTGGTAACCACTAGCACCTGCCACCTCCTGCTTTCTGTAGGAGGCTGGCTGCCTGAGCTTTCC